AAAATAAAATTTTTTTTTCCAAAAATAAATTCTGTAAAATAAATCGTATAATAAATTCAAATGTACGTAGTAATCATTACACTTATACATACTACAGCACTGAAATAAATTTTAAATTAAATGTTAGAAAAATGTTTAAGATGTGTATATTTCAAGAATTGATAGGTCACTTCTTTTATTTTCGTACTTTTCATAGTAATTAGTCCTCCCGTGCCAGGCGTAGCTTTAAAATAAGTGATATTGAATTGCTCTGACACAAGCAGAGTAAAACAAACTGAACCTACGAACATTCCAAACGGTACTCCAACTGAATTGCACGTTGAAGCATAACCCACGTTCTTTCTGTAAACAAAAACAACATTTAATAATATTTCTGCGAAAAAATAAAATTCTATCACGGCTTACTTTTTCAGCATAGTCAATGCCCAACCATCAACAACTATATCTTGAGTAGCTGATAAAATATTAATGACGAAAACCACAATTATTAACAATTTTAGGTTTGGTTTTCCTGACTCGGGTAACCAATCATCAATGTTACTGGCCAAGTAAAATACCAATGAAACTATAAAATATTAAAAAAGAAAAATAAGTTTCTAATAGTGAACAAACAATTTTATAGGAATATATATCATATAATKATTCATCAAAATAGTTGCAGTTTACGGTAAAATATTTAAATAATAAACTAAATATTATTCAATAATCCAACGAATCTATATGAATTAATAGTTTAAGCAGGAGTACCATCCATTCTCGCCAAAGCCCTTCAGCCAGCCAACATTCAAAACACGATATCATTTATAAATTTATAATCAATTCTAATTTAATCAATCTTCTGTAAAATAATTTGTATATTAATATTAAGCAATTACTTTCCAATGTAACCCCATAAATTTGTAGTAGCCAATGGCCTTAGATGACCAGGCTTTTATTAATAAAAAAAAAAATTAAAAAAATAGTTTAAGTGGCTTTGAAAAGAAACAATATACGACTGTCTATCTCGACGTACGCAAGCCTTCGACGGGATTCCATGGCACTATAAATCATAAATGCAAAATTTAACTTTAAATCAACCCGCCAAAATAAATTGTTCATGTTTCTATACACCTCAATAATCAGACCACTGATCACTTACGCTGCCTAATCTGGGCAGCAGCTTCCTTGTGAAAAATCAACAAAATCCAAATCCTTCAAAACAAATCTTTAAGAATATGTCTCAAAGCACCATGATTTATGAGGAATATACAAATCTACAACGGCACAGGAATCCCCCTTCTCCAGTTCTCAAAGACTGGATAAAAATACGATTCCCACACTTTCATGCAAAATTCAAAACATCGGATGGCGCTCGGTTTTACAATCTAGGAATCAAAACAAAAAATCGCCTATAAAACCACGTCTACCGTAAAATCTTCTTATACCAGACCAAAGCAAACCATAATTTACCACCACGAATACTGACTTTAAAATGTTTACACCTATAATATATATCACAGTATCTTAAACTAATTATAATTAATAATAGATTCTTGTAATTTGTAAACTGACTTGTGTAATAGAATGTAATATACCGAGACATTTTAAGCTTAGTAAATGAAAAAAAAAACCATTATTTACATTTTTATAAAATATGATATGAACAATTTTAATGTATACTTACCCATCAACAATTGGAGCGGTATTAACCAACATTTACGCCTACCTATGCATTTAACATAGAGTGCATCTACTACTGGAGCCCATAGAAGTTTCATACTATAAGGCCACAATGAAATACTAAATGCAGCCTAAAACAAAATAAATTATTTTTAATATTTAATAGATAAAGATAATAGATATAAATATTAAGGTAACACATTAAAATAAAATAAAATTTTTTAAAAAATCTAGGAAGTCACTCAGCTAAAAAATGTTATGTATTTATAATTAAGAAATAATTAGTATATTTTCATGATTTTGAAGGTAACGATTATTTTG